ATATTTAAGTAAATATAAAATGTAAGTACCTATATACAAAATATGAACTCTCGTTAGTATGGCGTAAACTTTGTAATAAACTTCGTATAAACTGTATATAGAAGGGAGATAAATGATGGGTGATCTGAAGACAAAAAGTAATTAAAAACTGAAAAAAAAAAAAAATTCCTAAGTTATTTACAATGCTTTCGGTGTGAAACTCCACCAAAGTGCTTTTTGCAAATTTTGATGTGCTTTCTCCAACTAATTTAAATTCTTAAATTTATCGAATGGTCGCCCTGCAAGCTGTAATTAATAATTAATTGCTTTTTGCTTTTTTATTGTTAATTTAAAAAAATACACAGAAAACGACGGGTCTTGAAACATTTTTATGCATTTTTCAACTATTTCCTGAATATTTTCAAGTACAAAAAGCAGTTAAAATAATTCTACCAAGACATTATAAATGAAACGGAGGTGAATTGGAATTGAGTCAGTTCAAAAAAGTACTACAAAGTCGCTTATGATCTCAATGTCAACAATCTCCTATCGATGGATGAATGTCAAACTTTCAGATATAGTCAAGTCTTAGAGTAGATTAGGCAGAGTCTGTAGCTACATTTTTTTTAAATGGAGTTATACAGTAGAAGCAGACACCTGAAGGGAAAATTTGGTTCTCATAAAAACGTTTTGCAAACGTTCGAATATTTTTGAAAGAAATATGTGGTAGAACTTCCATTATAGCCCAAATTAAGTGGCAATACGTGCCCATTGAAGTCACTTATTAAGCAACTATTCATGTTTTTCGACTATTCCGTTAACCTACCTTAGCGGGTTCAGTCGACAAAAGCTGCTGCAACTGACTTTTCCCTTCTTTGCTGCTATCTTTGACTGGAGGCGAGCCTGTTGGAGGCGGAGCGTACTGGATGCAGCTGCTCCCATGAGGTGAAGCTGCATCTCCAGCTGCAGCTCCTTGAGCTGGGGACATGGTGGTCGAGCTGCTCGACGTTGAAGGAGGCACATGATGATTTTCCGTGTGCCTTCTTAGAGATCTGGCATCGCAATAACTCTTTCCACAACCGTCTGCTTTGCATTCGTAGGGCTTTTTATTGCGATGAGTAAGCATGTGACCATTTCTGAAACACATCGATTTCCAGTAATCCAAGGAAAAATGGCTGACATTTTTGCATGTGTGCAGAGTGTTTATGATGTTACATTAGATGGTGGTGTTTTAAAACGTTTTTGTTCGCCGATTTTATGATGCAATTCCATAGAGATTTGCACATAGCAAACGATAAAAAAAAATTAGGTTGCCATTTGTGAAGACTGTGAGACTATTGGATGGTAGTATTCCAACTTAATGACATGCTTACATAGATATAGACCAAGGCATAATATTTTAAAAATTATGCGAAATGCAGAAGAATTTGAAAGTATTTTACATATTTATTAAAGTTGTTCCCGGCGTATTTTAGAAAAAAAACGTGTTAATAAAAATTAATTTGTTTCACATAAAAGTCTGCCTAACGCTCAACAAATTTGTTGAGCATTTGTCTAGCATGTCWCCAATTTTTGTGTATTAAGACTTTATAATTYTAAAGCATTGTTTTGCTTTTTCTGTAAAATYGCACACTTGTTCATTAGAAAAAGGAACGTGGAACAAAATAAAAAATAATGTGTYATAATTRTTTTGTAAATGGTTATATGGTYAAATGGTGTAAATTTTATTTGTATCAGCCTATTGACGCTCTTATTATCAATTTTGGAAATTTACAGATTATTAATGTTTATTAAAAACTGTTGGATGAAAGATAAGATAAATTACATATTTAAAGCAATGCTAATGGTCACACTGAAAACGCATTGAATTTGGAATTGATAAACAAAAGTGTTTTCTTCTTTGAAAAAAGTATTGCTGGCTTCGTTGATTACATTTAGTTTTCCAAATTTCAACCCAAAGCTAAAGGAAGTAACATTTTTTGAAGACTTTTATGAAGAAAAACACGTTTAATTTTTCTGTGAATTTATAAGAACAGTAGAWCAAATGCGGCTTTCGTTTAAAGTACGGTTTCAAATATAAAATAGAAAGTCTTTCACATCATCTTAAAGAAAYTGGGAATTGAGTCACTTRAAAATTTTGGAGTTTTAAGAGTCTAAGAGAGTATAAGATATAAAATCAAATARGAAYACTAAATATTAATTAATAKTKTATCGGTTATATAAAAARAAGCACACAGTTGMGCTTTAAATTTTGAATAATTTYCAGCTGTTTTTCAGATTTTATGAAGTCAAGGTATTGAGTCCCGTATCCATAAGTTGCTTAGCTTAGCGACAAATTTATGATTTCAATTTCTACTTTAAAGAACTTTTTTTGCCAAATCTGTGGGTTTTTTGTTAAGTCTSATCTGACAAAGTGACCGACTTTAAGAAATTTTAAACGMCTMATTAATTATTTAATTAATATGAACTTCCTTCATTATTTAATTGTTTTGMTCAAATAAAATTAAACGTGGCATCAGAATGATGACTTCGAGAATGGTAAGTTCAGCAACAATGARTATGCCAATAGTTTGARGCGTTATTGGGTACCTATCTCCGATTTTWAAAAAAATCTTTCAAGCAAACAAATGAAACTATCAGCATAAGAAGCGTACTTACAAATGATCTTGTCTTTTGAAAGCTTTATTACACACGGTGCAAATGTATTTCCTTTCGTCGCTATGAGTGAGCTTATGTTTTGCCAAAGCTGATGCGTTTCCAAACACCTTCGAACACACCTAAATTAAACCAATATTAATGTTCTGAAATGCTAAACTATGTATTACATCTAATCATATTGAAATATAGATTATATGGCGAAAACAGCCGTAAATAAAGCATTTCAAGGGCCAGTTTAAGAATAAGATTACCGTGCATTGTTGAGGACCCTGTCTGTTTGGCGAAGTTGGTTTGGTTTTAGGCCTTTTCCCTTTCAAATCCGGTGAACTCCGGCCTGGCTTTCCATCATCCTTTGTTGTCGTCGATACTGAAAGCAAAGCGCATTGTTAGATTCTCGAAATCTACTTTATCTTCCCGGAATATTAAAATTTCCCTGCACATTTTAATGCCAATCTTCATCAGAATCTTTAAAACGGCCTTTTCAAGCGTATCGGCATTATTTTTCCAACTCGAGCTGGAAGCAGAAAGTTAATATACATAAATATTTAATATTCGTTATATCATTTAAGAGCGCCCGCTCTCCACCACCCCAAAAGGGATGTTTTTGTGACGGAATTCATTCAATTATTATTTTCATTTCCTTAATGGACGTCTTTCAAACGGGAGATGTAATCTATCTTTGGCGCTGTCATTCAAGAGATCTATCTCCGTGAATTAGAGCATGTTTTGTCCGTTTGCTACCTTCAGGCTAATTTTCAGACGTATTTTGTTTTAAGGATACGGCAGATTAATTTATACAAATTTGGGGGACAAGAAAGCTGATGAAATTCGCTGAAGATTGGAATTGAAGGATTATTATATTAACATTGTACAAGACAGAGATGGTTTCAAGAAGCGTCTCCAGAAAAGTTAAACGGGGTGTTTTGAACTAGTCTTTTCGTCTTCTGAAACGTTCATGTAGCTCATGTTGGCTTCGGACAGTATCTTTGTTGTAGTTCAAATTTAACAATTACCGATTGCATGGTCTATACAGAAGATTTGCATAAAATATATAGGATTATTTGGCCCTTTGAAATCAATATTTTAGGGTTTTTTCATTATGTTCTGGTTTCTGCGGGCTGGACTAAAAATTCGATAGTAGCTTTGAACGACTGTAAATGCCGCAGTAATTCTTACAATCAGGTCTTGCTCTGTTTCCACCGGAGTTTCGTAAATCAAACCCAGTAGTCACGTGTCCCCCGAAAAGAAATCTAAAGGTGTTGGAAACACATGGAAGACAATGGAGAAACACCGTTCAATGCCATTTTCTTTCATGTAACTTTTCGCAATCAATACATCTGAAATGGCTCAAATGCTTTCATGTTTTCTGCGCGATTTATTGTCAGCTCTAAAAGAAAAGCGTATTGTTTCCTTCTGATCTCCTTTAGGGTTAACACTGACAGAAGAACAGAACGTGGATCCATCCGAGCAAAACAAAAACATTAAAAGTCCGCCTCCTCCTTCTCGATCTGGTGCAGGTCAACAGAAAGAAAAGAAAATCAAACCGGCGAAATCCGTTGCGAAAGACTCGACAGACAGTTTCGACGGGTCAAACAAAAGTTTGTAATCTCCTGTCTGCATCTTTTGTGAGTTTTTTCACGTAGTTTGGAGACTTATTTTTATTCCAGTCGTAATGTCGTATGACTTCAGTTTTATTTCCGGTGGCCAGAGTCGTTAGTGCTCAGGACGTGTTAAATCATGAAATTTTATTAGGGCGATTCCAGATTGGCATTCCGGGTAAGTCTGGATCAAGTGTTCAATAAAATTATATTCGAAGGCGTGATAATTTACTTCGATATTTGGTGTAACAGGCGCATGTTGCAGCATGTGAATTATCTGCTTGGCATGAAAGAGTTTGATGCCTTGCAGCTAAAATAGGAAACATTTCAAGCAGCCGAAAGTTGTCTTTCAAATAAAACGAGAGCACGATCGGATTAAGCAAGACTGGAACAAAAATATCAACATTTTATTAATATTTATTATCTTTACGTAAAACTTCACCTAGTAGATATGTTGAAGTTTGTAGGGACATGCGGGAACGTCCTCCTTCAACCCATCATGCAACACGCGAGAGGATCCACAATATAAAGTATTTCACTCAGCCAAGCAAGAGAAGTTCCAACAACCGTAAAATCGAGAAACATTTCATATTTTGGACATGTAATGACAGGAGGCAATGTGAGTTATTGTGCTGGATAATGCAAGGAAAAACGCGGTCCCGCTCGGACTCTTCCAGGTTGACGTCATGCCAACAGAAGTTGAGCTGAGACAATGGAATGGAATGTCTTCCGGTCGAAATGGAAAAGGGATGATTTCGAATGGGGGAAGTTGAAAGAAATGAAAAACATGAGAAACTCTTGGTTAATAAATTAATAAACTTTAGCCTAAGGAATCGACAMTCCGCACATTGGATTTTTTGCTTAATTGAACATTTTACATCTTAATCTATTACTACTACGTCAAAATAATASTTTAGACTTTAATTCTCCAGTTTTACTTAGATTACATCAGTAGATTTCCCCACAAAAACATATTTTTTTTGCAAAAAATACTGGTTATAATTATACGACATATAGTTCCTTCCAGGCTTTTTCAACACATTTTCAACGTTTCCTCACCAGAAAAATATCGCCGCTTTATCAATCAAAGCTCTGTGAGAAAATAAATATTCAACATTGTTTGGGGGACTTTTTATAATATTTCATAGCAACTTTATTCATTTGCTTTGCTCGAGCTGGAAGCCCGAACAGCAACTGTTCACATTTTTAAATTAATTGCACATAAACGTCTACATTGTCTGTTTTTTGGTTACTTTTAGCTGAAACTTTGCAGATATCTCTTTTTGCCACAGTAAACTACATTTATTCGCTTTGTATCGGAAAACTTTCTTTAAAATTCTTTTTTCGAACAATCAAGCCGGTTGATGCTGGAGTTAACGAATCTTCTTGTTACTTAAAGCGGAAACATGTAGCAAATAATTATGTTTTTGCATTTTTGTAATTTTGCATTTGAATTCGCAAGTGAATTAAATTGTCTGTTATTCGTGGAAATATCTGCTAACACCAAATGTTACCAATATTGGAAAATCTGTGTTGTTGGGTTTCGCATAATTTCCAGGGAAAACTGGCTGATTTGGTTAATGCTAATGATACTTCTGTGCCAATTCGCAGAAATATTATCGATAGTATGAAAACGGATGTTAATAGGTAGCTTTATGCAATAATAAGTCCTCAAAGTATCCGTCCGCTTATCAAAACCGTAGGAAAACTTTTCGGATCTGGTTTAATTATTTTCCATTTTTGCAGTCAAAAATTCGGTTCATCAGCCGTTAATGGGAATATTTGAGAATATTGCACTTTACTGCAAATATCGCACTTTACGCTGCACGTAAACATTTTTCCGATTATTTGCAATAATTGCTTGTAAAATGTAATTGAGTTCGAGATGGATGAACAGCTTCCAACCTTGCGGTCCCACGACGCTGAATCGTCAATTTAATAAAAACATTTGCTTTTTTGGCCTTTATACAAATTAATACTCCGTCTGTAATTAATAGATTATTGATCATTATAGTAGTTTTCAATAAGTTTCAACAATTCATGTAGTTTGGCGATGCATGAAAAAGAGTTTTTTTTAAATAAGTGCAGTATATAAAAAAACAAGCTAATTCAACAAACTTTATACTTATATACTCCCTTGCATGCAGATTTTCAACAATTGATCCACCAAATTCGTCAATTTTACGCCCCAGGCGTTCAAATAATTGGACTCAAGAGCAGATACTTCTTGGCCTTTGCGCCATTACTTCACTTACAACTGACTGAATGCGCCTGACTTAAAAATACATTTTGACCAACATAGTTTCCGTAAAGCTTGGACGATATTCGGAAATACACATTTATCTGAACCTTACTTTTAAGGCAGTTTCTTTTATCAGCTGCCTACATTGCTTCGCGCGATTTTTCTAGCAAGAACACTAAAATTAATAGAAGGCAGTTATAAATAGCGATGAGTACGAAAGAATAATTCAGAAAAAATATAGATTAATTAAGGAAGTAAATAATTTGCTTAAGGCCAATACCAATGAAAAATTATAAGAAAACCATCATGAGCGATCCATGGACGTTTTAAAGTTGGCTGTTTATTAGTAATAAATCAAAACCGAAGTACTCCTTTCAATTTGGAGGCGTACATAAATTCGTTTAGCATCTTTGGCGCAAAATTCTGAGGATTCAATAAAATGCAAAGGCAAAATAATTTTTTCGAGCATAAAACATGCATTGTGGGCAAAAAACCCAACATTTTTCAACTCCAAGAACTATTGTGTTACGGATAATCTTTCACTTATTCGCTGTTTCTAACTCAATAGATTCTTTTAATGTTCGAAGATATTTCTAATCCAAGTATTGAACACTTCAGTTCCAGCAAGCTGAGGAAACGAGTAATCTTCTAAGAGAGAAATATTTTCTTTCGGGAATTGATTAATGAATGTTTTTCTATATGCAATTTCTTGAAGGCGCTCTAAAAATCAAAGATATAAATTTAAACAGATCTTCTACATCTTAGGGGTTGCATTTTTTTGACGCATAAGCTGAATCAGATATGTAGTAGAAACCCGAACCGAAAAATGATGTTACAAAATTTCAACTTGAAATGTCGAGTTATTATTTATGACTCGTCTTTGAAAGAAGCCAGCTAGAAGACAACTTGAAAACAAGTAATATATTTCATTCAAGAAAACTGCAATTCGACAGCTATTGTTGAAAATCCTCTCGAGAAATTCTGTTGAGCATGTTCGTAAATTCCGCATGGAGAAACTTAAATACTTGTCCCGTTTACTCCATTGTCAAACTCAGAGATCGTATTCATCTGGGGGGACCTATACCGAATAACTGGCAGAAACTTGGCATTTCTAAAACTCACTAACGTATTTTAGAAAGACACAAATGGGTCAAGACAGGACTGAAATGTCTACCGTCTAGGGACCTCGAGGGGAACGCCAAAAGTAAAGCCTCAAGATCCACGTCTAAATTCTCCGTTTTGTTACCGATCTAAGGGGGATTTTATCCATTCAACTGCAAGCAATGCGAAGCGACAACAATACTTGGTAAATTCTATATAGTTCAACTCAGATTTTTCCTAAATGCCACTGGAATTCTCGTGCCTACTCAAACATGGAGCTCATTTAATGGAGAACCAGCGCATATCAATCTATAGGTGTGTTCTATTAAAATATCGGGGCTTACATTGGCATTGGAAAGACCGGGGAATACGTAAAAATACAAACAAGGCACCTTTATCATTTTTTACAAACTTCTTTTTGGGTAT